ATATATATATATATATATATATATATATATATATATCAAAGGCCCTAGAATGAAAAGATGAGGAAAAGAGTGGGTGAGGGAGGGTATCAAGCGCTGGTCTACGTCAAGAATTCTGAGGTGTCTACGCCTCCAACCGCTCAATCAGACAATCTGGAAAGAAAATCACAGCACGAGCGCCACTGACATCGATTAGTTGCCATTTCTCGCCATGTCTCCAACCAAGCACAAGAGAGATCACGGGGACCTCATTCTGAAGGGCTGACCGCACCAACAACACCCAAACTCTTTGTAATCCCTTTCACACCCTTCTGCAAAGTCACGCGCTGTTTCCGTCTTTAGGAAGGGAGCGCAGAAAACAACACGTCTCGGTAGGTAGGGCCCCCGCAGGCCTAGCAAATGGCTGAGTCATCGCAGTTGATGATGATGGGTGTTCTCCGCGACCGAAGTACCTGCTGCACAACCAAGCACTCTTTTTCTACTTACCTCGTCACGAATTCGTTGGTATCATCCGACATCGCCGACATCCGCCAGCACAAACCTACACGAGCTAAGGTCCTGATACAGCAGTGGTCAAAAACCCCACGATACCAAAATCATCTGTCCTTCGAAAATATCTCTCAATCACACAACAATGCATCCCTTACTGTGGCCCGCTATGTGCCACCCTTGAGATCCAGTGATGTACTTTTACGACGCCACAAGTGATGCACATGAGCAAACGTGATTTGGGCTTTTGAGATTTTGTGCGCTGAATTCATCAGACACCCTTCCGCCATAGCTAATATTACTTCTGAGATATGTAGTACAGATTGTCTTCTGAATTGTACGGAGTATGTTCGGAGACTGCACATTCTGAAGCCTGACTACAAAGCGCATGCCGAAAGATGGCGTGATGGTGCTCGATTTATTCAAAAGGTTGCGATTCCCTTCGTCTTCACAGTTGAGATCGATGTCGTCTGCGTACTCCAGATCGACACTAGCGGTACTCTGAACACCGCAGATTTGGAGACCTTTCAGCGTTTGTCTCATTTCATCAGTAACGAAAGTGAACAAGAATGGAGAGGGTAGCCATCCTTGTTGGCAAACACGTCTTGTTTGGAAGCTTTTGGCGAGTTCCTGTACACTCACACGCCCAGAAGTATGTATATATAGGGGCCGGATTGTGTGCACAAGCTTCTGGAGCATACCCTGTTGATAAAGCGTGGTTAACAGCGCTTACCGGTTGTCGGAACCGTACACACTTTTGAAGTCAAAGATTTTGGACCGTGTTCTAACACCTGACGGCATGTGAAGATGTGGTCAACGTAGCCTCTGCCCTGTCGAAATTCTGCTTGGTGCTCACGGGCCAAGGATTTGCGTTCTGCCGTAAGACAACAAAAATCAGTAACGCCAGAAGCCTTGTTACAAAAGGAGTCCAACTGGCACCTTTGTGGTTACCACGTTCGCTGCGTGTACCCTTTTTGACTTTTATCGACGCACTCCAGTTATCTAGTACAGTCTCTTTCTCCAAGATCGACTCAAATAGGCCAAACAGGTACTGACTAAGGAACTAACCGACATCTCTGAAAAGAGCAGGTAGAAGGTCATCAGGGCCGTGAGCACGGTGATGCCTGAATAAGGGTTTACACTCGGACACATCTTAGGCAAAACGGAGCTAGATATTAGCAGTCCATTCTTCTTTTGAAGTCCCGCAGTCCGGATTAGCAGTAGAAGGTGGCCAACTGAATTGTTGTTGTGGGTATTATGCCAAACGGTGCAAACGTTCCAATTTCAATTCAGTTCAATTTAGCAGCTATAAACAGTGTACCGTAGGCTCATTGGTTCCAGCTTCTACGGTTTCGATAACCTGAAAACGGGAAAGTGGAATATACAACCAAGCATTGGAGGAGAAGGCATTGTCGGTTTGATCGGGTAGCTACGCACTGAAGGCAACAGCTTTGATGCACGAGCGCCACTGACTACACTATTGGGCCGTTTCCGTCAGTGTCATTAACCACTGGTGATTTGATTAATTGGCTTGACTGGTGACTGACTCACCTTCTAGCATGAAGTGTGGGTTTTATCCCACCCAGTTTTGTAGCAGCACTGTACACTGCAGGTGTAAAGCACATGCTGAAATGTACGGCAGAGTTATTTAGTTTATTTAAATCGGTTGCATTTGGGTGGGATCGGAACCAAGGAGAACAATATCGTCCGCATGCTCAATGTATGTGAGGGAACGTCCTGGAGGCCTTTGGACTCCCGAGGTTTCAGAGGCAGGCGAAAATTGCAAGAACCGTATCAGTAATAAAGTTACAAAGAAAAGGGGAAAGAAGACAGCCTTGTCTTACACCACTGAACGTGGCGAACTCAGGCGAGAGTTCCCCGTACACTCGTACGCGCCCACAGGAGTTTGCATACAGTTCCCTCATAAGGCAGGGAAAGGGAGAGAATGACGGCATTGCGTTCTTCTTCGGATATGAGTCTCAGGTCTGACAGGTAAATACGCTAGCTTATGACCGAATCCAACTAACGCTCAGGCCCTCTGACAATATGAATATAAGGTGAGTGTGCACGCGAATGGAAGGAGAGGTCTGGTCTTCCGAACTTCTAACATCCATCTCTACTCAAGTCGTAGTCAATGATCATTTTGAAGTCCGAGCATGCTTTTCGTTGGATGCATGGAAACGTGAGGGGCACGTTATTAGGTCTAACCGTACTTCCTGCCCAACCGATTCGGGGACAATTTATCACTCCAGATGCTTGTACTTTTAGGCTGTAGCCTTTAAAATGCACCAGTGCAGGTCCATTCTTCAATCGGTTTCTACACTTCAGACCACTGTATATTTTCTTATAGAGCCGCTTAAGTGTTTTCTTTGTTTGAAGTCATCTCGGCCGAGAGATCTGTATTCATTGATCCTTCGAGTAACCGGTGCGAAATGAGCTCGGATGTCTGTTGGAAGCCTAGGCTGCAGTGCCGCTGAATCGAACCAATGGTTCTTCGGTGCTGTTGTCGGATACCTGCTTGCTTGAGAAACCTTTCCGATCATTGGTGCTTTATGCGAATCCCTTTTGTCACCAGCTGTTCATACTCATAGATGTTCCGTCCAGTGTGTTAGTCCACTGATTTAAACGATTCGCGGTCGGTTGGAATGCGTCTCTAAACCTAACCAAGGTTAAGTTCCTGTTGGAGTTTTGATCTTCCAGTGCATTTAGCCTTACTGTTTCGCAAGGAGCACGGATATGGATATCCAATTCCCGTCAAACGTTATTTCTGCACACGGATTAGTTTAGGAAATCTACAGAAACCACTTTCGCTAAGTTCCATTCAGTTTAGAACTAGTGACTTTCTCCATTTTCGGGTAGTGTTTTTCCTCCCCCGAAGAGCACAATGAAATGTGACTCAATTTCGTCATTCGAATCCATACAAATGCTAAAGGATGAGTGCCCACTTGTAACGGATCCCATCGATGGTGGCTGTTCAGGATTTCTGCTTGCTGGTATGTGGATGGCGCATATGGTAGGATAATTTTTGGGTTATCTCATAATATAGCTGCACCACGTTTCTTTTAACTCAGTTTCAGCATGCCTTTTTTTATTTTGTGATCAAAACAGACCGTGGACCGCTTGACTGCGCCTTACCAAAACTTGCCCTGCGCAGGTAATCCCGTTCATATCTACACATGGTCCCTACCAAAGCCCCCCATTTTGGCAAGTCTGGCAGGTCTGGACCCTCAGTGTTTCACTAATACGGACCGAGGGTTTGGACTTTTGTTCTCTCAGCCCATTGCGGCAGTAAGTCCTGTTTTATGTCTTAGGTACGTAGTGATTGCGTTTTGCGCAAAAGATGAACCCTGATTTACTGCTCATAGAGTACATCTGGCCTTTTTGGACATAGCATCGTTGTTTTCAACAGCAAACTGAGCCACAGTTTAGAGCTTAGAATGAAGTCAACCTGTATGGAAATGCTGAGATTCACTGTACTGCTGTTTTGTTCCTTTTGCGATCATATCATACCTAGGCGGCATATGGCACCACTCATCTCAATGGCACAGCTCCCTTCACAGGCTTCAGTGCTGACTGACTCCTCAGGTAAACACTTTTAGGCAAAAAGCCCATGCGACTCGTGGGAGTCTATCTTTTTCCGCACTCCATTCAAACTATCTATTACGTCCATATTGTACACAGGCTCTTTAGTGCTCCGGGAATCCTCGTGGAGCCGCTACTTTCAGGTACTTCGGACTTCGTATCTGTTGTCATTTAGCTTTTTACAGTAGATACTCGTACCAGTCTACTAATCACTAGGGAATATGACCATCAGTGAGTGTTCAGGCTTACTGTTCATTGTTACCACGTATATTGAGTGCAGCATATTGGAGTTGTTGAAACATGTTGTGCAGTTTCTGGAAACTTGTATTTCAGATGCTGGGTTGACGGTTTGATATTACTACACCCCTTAGTTTGGTTCGGTCTTATATCACACACATCGGAAAACAGTTGACCTTATTTCTCCTTTCAGGATTGGGTGGCAGAAAGCCGCAAGTGCGAAGGCAGAAATCTGTCTGCCTAACTGGAATCGTCGCTGGTGGACACTATCTACCAGGGTTGGTGTAATGATGATAATTTACAATCTTGTGGATGATCTCAACAACAACAGGACTAAAGTCGCATGTAGGTTCGGAGAGGTGGTCAGTCCATGGGTTCCCGACTTGGCCGCAGACTAATTTTTTTTATTGATTTCTTATTGTGCAAAGTGGTTTTGCGCTGGGGGTAAGATCGCGTAACCAAGTGCTCAGAACTGCTTTATTTTCGGGCTAGGGATTTCGCAGCTCATTGGAAATATTATTATTATTATTGTTATTATTATTATTATTGGGCTCATTTAGGATTAATGTCAAGCTGCAATTTCGCGGTTGCAACACTTAGTGTATCATTCCTTTTTCTCTCTTCTCAGAACGAGTATGTTTGTCGACTTCCACTCTATCTTACTCGTGGTATGGCTCGCGCTCGTGTGCGCCATGTCAAGTCTGTAATCCTCTCCGAAGAGATGCTGGAAGTAATCATTGCAGCTCACCGCGTGATAGCCGAACTGTTAACCAACATTGCCGATTTGTCTCACGTTGGACAAATGGGGACGAAACAACGACTAGATGCCTTGTCTCACGCAAACTCAGAAGGCAGGCCTCGACCATGTGCGCAAAACGTCCGAGATAGATTTAGTGACCTTCATTTTGATCCGGTGAAATCGCGTACTTTGTGTCTTGTCACATTCTTCTGTTCGTCAAGTGAGTTATCCCGTGTTTGCACACATAACATTAGTAACCCCCACCATTTAAGGACAGGTTAATTACTTTCTTGTTCGGCATTTGCAGCTTCAGCGAGATAAATTTTCCAGAATAAATGCTTACACAGGTACCAGCGCTGGACATCCTGCAAGCATATGCAAGTTTTCAAACTGCATAGTAAAACACGCCAATCTACGCTGATCCAACTGCCTGGAGCTTTTCATGGGAAGTAGGAAGATTGAACACTGCAACGAAGCATCACAACTGGACACTGATCTGCTGTGAGTGATGGTGGTACTGACGAAGGTTGGATGGACCTTGTTTCCCGTATGCTGACATAGGGCTTTCTTCCCCCACAGTAAATCTCACACGCCACACTAAAGTCAACCTTAGAGGAGATAAACGATGACCTGTGTTGATGCGGCAGCGAGGTCGATTGCTGTTTTAAGTATTGAATTAAACCGTACATGCCATTATATTCTTGGGCCTTCGCTCAGCACGCACCTTCTGACTAACCACCTGAAGCTAGCCAATAAGTTCAGCGGACCAATTTGATGGAAGTGAATTTGGGTAGGTCATCCTTTCAATGCCTTTCCTTTCTTTGCAGTTTTAGCTCGCTCGGCTTTTAAAAAACCTCCTGAACACTAATTTCGAATGGCCACCTCATATGGAATAACCAGTAGCATCAGTTCTCGAGCGTGTTTCTTTGGCGAGATGGCTCAGTGGTTAGAACGTGAATTTACTGACCGGAATGTTCTTGTTCGAATCCGATCTCTGCATCTCGACGTCTCCTGTATAGGCTTGGGCAACCTGGCAGTATCCCAGCCCTCATGCTACCTTTGGATGACATGACAGCTAGGCACCGAAAGGATGCCTCTCTTATTATCTTATCTTTATTATTACCCCTGTTTCTTTGGCTACTCTAATCTGATAGCTCGGACGCCACTGTGCCAAGGGACATTTCCGTACTCCTTCGTGTGACTTAATGTATTTACGTAAAGGCTGCCAAAGGTTTGTGGCAGGGCAGTCCCCTGTTAATTCGTTGAAAGATTGTCTCCTTAGAATCAAAGGCTTTCCTCCTTAGGATAACTCTGTACAACCCTGTCAACTTTATTCCATTCTAGTCCAAAGTGATTCCAAATCACTAGAAAGCATTAGCAGTAGTAAGCTGAAATAACTTGAACCACATTTATTGCTTTATTATAGCTCCGAAGAAGGATGGACCTAATAGAAAAGCCTTAACATTACTCATTTTGAAGGTGTTGGATAGTAAGAAACGTGCAAGCCATTTCATTCTACTGACTACCTTGGGCTCGTTTTCCATTGAATTCCATCGAATGTTTATGTGAATTGGAAGCATGTAGTGTTTTACATCCAGTCCTCGTACGTTCTTTCACATAATCCACGACGAGTTGTGACCGAAAGTTCCTCAACGCAACAAAAATGTTTTCAGAGCATGGTACGTGAACGTTTTTTCGAAAAAAATTAGACGCGGACTTTCTAACCTAGCCTGCGCCACATCTGTATGGTAATCACAAACGTTATTCCATAAAGCATTCTGTGGTTCCAAGAAGATTTCTCCTACTGGTATGTGTTCCAACGACTCGTGAATTCATAAACGAACACGACATCGGCGGGGGTCTGGCTAGGTCGGTCTGGAAGAAGTTTCTGGAACAAGGGACAATAAGCCATGGGTATCCGCCAGTTCGTTGGATCTACTTAATTTGTGTCAGACATCTCCAGCAAGAACAACGCACAGCTGGCGACAGCCTCTGCTTAGCGAGAAATTCAAAAGGGATAGAGAGATACGGTAAGGTACATCAGTCAAAGTAAAGCATTCCGAACAATCGTCGCTCATTTAACGTAATGCCTCGCCTTGGATCTGGACACACGAATACTTGCGGATCATTGGCTCATAGCCGACCTAACGTGGGGTCGGTCGTTGGAAAGGCCACTCCGAGTCCCAGCTTAACCTCCATTCATCTCATTATCTACCGATTGCTCTTATTCAATGTTTGTCTTGCCTTTTTCCCTTAAGAACTCCAAAGCCTCCGGGGAACACGGCCTCTGCTCGAATTGTTCAGAGTGAGATCACTTAGTCGACCTGTTTTCGGTCCGAAGAACGTGTAGAGGAGGGTTGTTCAAGCCCGTTTGTAATTCCAACCTTCTAAAGGAATCAACGCCCAAATTGCGCGAACTATCGCGGGGCTGCTCTGATTCAATCTATGTCTTGCAATTGTCAGAAGACGGCAGTACCTCACGGTTTGATGCGGCGCTATCGTTTCTTGTAACGCCATCGTGCCCAGCTTGACTGATGGCCGCCTACAGTCCCCCGCGAGTTTTCTTGCCCCTCTCATTCCTGCGGATGCTGGTAAACCGTTGTCACAGGTATTCACATGCATCTACTGGTCCGGGCAAATCCGTGCTGAGTGCCAGTCAGTCAACCTATATATATATATATATAT